TTTATTTGGTCTCCTTATTGCCACTTTTACCATTCCGTATTTTCCCGGTTGTACATCCGTTACAACCGCCAATGGTTAAAAAGCTGATGTGTGTATGTCTTTAATGATCACTACTAGTTTCATTTCTAGATTTCTATCCTACTTCCTCCAATTTGTACGATTTTGCAAGGTCATCAAATATACATTCTTCCATTTTCTCCAAGAAGTATTTTTATTCCTAGCACACATGAGTGTAAATCAATGCAAATATTTTTTCCAAAAATAGAATACATGAACGTGTCTTACTACGCATTCCGAATAGAAGAAGGCCTTTTGCAGATTTAGAGTGAGAGAGATGATAATGATGCTGGAATAAATTGCATTGATTGATAATTAAGCATTATAGTAAAAACAAAAAAAAAAAAAAAAGTGTATATATAATTTACTATACTTATACGCTGTCGGATCTACACAGCAAGAGTTTTGCTGTTCGTAGCTCGGATGAATCCTTAAGATGAATTATATTATTTATGGAAGGCTGTTTTTAAGTCGATTAGTTAATAGAAGTAATAGCATGGTATCATAATTTTCTACGACATCACCTCAAGTAGAACAATCCATTCCTATTGCTGACAATGACCGTATTTAGTTATTGGCTTTGGAAATCGTACGTTGTTTTGGAGTGATCGGCCGTGATTGATTTTCAGGTTATCAAACTTGTGGCGTCAGTCCCGCAAATCACAAAACTAATCAATTACCATTAGCTTAATGAAATCCCATAACGAGGTACAATACAATTTTCTGGATGTAAAGACAATTCGGAAATCACGTTTAAAAGCATAAAATACACATTAATTTTGGGGAACTTAATGGCATAATTTCAGTAGCGATTGTTTGTGTTTTTTTTTTTTCAATTGTAACTGGAATCAAGCGCTGTTTCTCTTTTTGAACAACATGCACGAATCAAATGTAAAATACAAACTTTTATTTAGCAAATATATTTTTTACTTTATCGTTTGAAAGAATATTTCTCGTTTAAAGAGGTAATATTTTAAGAATTTGACTGATATGCGTACCCTGTGGGCAGCGCATCACCAAGAAACGTGGTCAAATATCCAACAATAAAATTTGGAAGGAGAATTCGCCACTATAAATTAATTTTTTATATTTTTGTTTTAATGAAATATTTGTTGTCAATTTTCACTTAAATATCGGATTTTGTTTTTAATTACCTTTGGAAAAATATATTCTTGAGTCAAAATTAGATGTAAAAATCAATTGATATGAGGGAATTTTAAGATTTTTCCAAAGTATTAATAAAATTTCCACGTTTTATTCCTTCAGAAGTTGGCAACAATTAGAAAGAATTGAAGTTGGCTTATCGTATTCGTAACTCGTTTTCAAAGATTTTAAGACAGATAAATTTATCGGGTTTGCTTAGAGCTTAGTTGCTACTTCTGACACGCTCGCTCAATAATAAAACTTTGTAACAGGTTCACCCGTTCACTTCTCAAATTGTCTCCATTATAATTATTTTGTTTATAATTTAGTTATGAATAAATGTATGTTCATTTCTTTAGCTTTTTACACTAACCCTCTTTTAAAGAGCAAAAAGTATATTTGCCAGATATGATTTTGATAATACTATCGAGGATGTAGCAAAATTATAATCTACTGAAGGTAGAGAGAAGACTAAATGCATGAATGCACCAGATGTAGAGTTTTCTCTAGCAAGGTGATTTTTCATACTTTTTGGCTCTGTAATTGCTTTCACTCTATGTTTGTTGGGTACTAAAAAAGAATTAACCAACAACTTTGATACGTGCCTTCCGTACCTGAACCGCAAAGTTCAAAACTGATGGGATAAGAATGGTTTCAATCAATTGCATTAAACTCAACCGAATTTTTATTAGAAATTTTGTACATTTGTACAAATACGCCATCACATATGGTCCACCAGTTTCGCTAATAATATTCCGTTTCACTAATTCTTCTCACGCTGCCTTATGATTTGAGACCGTAAAAGCACTAGCATAGCTTTTGTACTCTGATAGCTGAGTTTTTTCATCGACCATTGGTTGGAACAATTCGTAGAAAGAACTTCATTGTACCACATTTCCATCGAACAATGTAATCAGTATGTAGTCTTATTTCACTGTCTGATTTGTTTTTATTTAGGGCACTTAGTATACGGATTTTGAGCCTGGATCTATTTGGACCAAATTCGATTGAGTATATTTGGAGTCAATTTATGGCTGTCGGTTCGTTTGTACGTCCGTCCGCTTGTCTGGCAGGTTCACACGATAACTCTCGAAGGGAGTATCCGATCTGAATGGTTTCAATCAATTGCATTAAACTCAACCGAATTTTTATTAGAAATTTTGTACATTTGTACAAATACGCCATCACATATGGTCCACCAGTTTCGCTAATAATATTCCGTTTCACTAATTCTTCTCACGCTGCCTTATGATTTGAGACCGTAAAAGCACTAGCATAGCTTTTGTACTCTGATAGCTGAGTTTTTTCATCGACCATTGGTTGGAACAATTCGTAGAAAGAACTTCATTGTACCACATTTCCATCGAACAATGTAATCAGTATGTAGTCTTATTTCACTGTCTGATTTGTTTTTATTTAGGGCACTTAGTATACGGATTTTGAGCCTGGATCTATTTGGACCAAATTCGATTGAGTATATTTGGAGTCAATTTATGGCTGTCGGTTCGTTTGTACGTCCGTCCGCTTGTCTGGCAGGTTCACACGATAACTCTCGAAGGGAGTATCCGATCTGGCCCAAACATCGTAGTATTATTGTCAAACTTAGATCGATTTCGAAAATTTTCAATATCGAACCACATTTTTTGGTACCTCCCCCACAAAAATTTTTCGCAGAATATATTTTAATTTTATAGAACAAGGAAGGATCATTCGAACTCGTGCAAATTTATTTATCCAGACTCTCTGGTACCATTTGCACAAACAAAAAAATTTTTCGATTAAATTTTGGAAAGTGTTTTCAATCATATATAAATTCTGCACATCCCAATGTTTTGTTATCAGAATTAGATGATACGGAATACTTCAATTCACTATATATGATACGTCACGTCCATTTCAAGAATATCCAAAAATTATCACATACTTCATATTTCAGTATGCAACCGTCGAAAGGCCGGACTGATACTTTTTAATTTGCTTCTTTCTTCAATAGCTATTTGATATCGTCGAATTGTTTTTCCCATGAATACTTTTTATGTTCTAGAGCATATTTCTCATGCCCGAAATATCTTATTCTACACCATCTGAAAGCTTCATTCTCTTCCTTCTGGTCTTAGATGACACCATAGACAAATAAAGGTATAGACTAAAAAGTTTTAAAATTTTCCCTACCGGCAGATGTCACTATTGTTGATCTTGGGCCAGTCAAGTCACTCAGGGCTAGTGAAGTCACTCGACTTCGTAAAAAATTTATTCATTTTTCTGCTATTTAAGTTCTATATTTTTATATTTCTCGACATATTTGGATAATGTAAAAGTAAACAAAGTCGATGTTTCGTTTTTGATTGATATATAATAAAGAATCATTAAAATATTTAATATTTTGTATTTTGAGAGAATTGAGTGAATCTATTGAACCTCTCTCACAGCATGAACGACATCTATTGAAGCACTTTTTTAGAGATAACAGATGAGACAACTTTTAAGTCTATACCTAATTTGTCTATAATAACACTATGGTTTCCTTGCCACTCTTAGCCTGTCTGCTAACAAAAGTTTTTGTTTTCCAGTGAATTGTTATTGCTCCAGGTTTTAGCTTTTGCAAAATCTCAATTATCTGCTAGGATTTTATGTTTTTTGTTTGCAAACTATTTTTTATAATTACCCCTTTTTATTTTGTTTTATTTGTTTTTTTTTTGTCTTTTTCTTTAATCGTATGCTCTTTTTCTATGCTAGTCCTTTTTAAAGTCTGTTGTATTCTTGCTTGTTTTTTATACTCTCCACCATGCTATGGAGGGTATATTAACTTTGTCATTCCATTTGTAACTCCTCGAAATACTCATGTCGGACCAAGTAAAGTATATATATTCTTGATCAGCGTAAAATTCTAAGACGATTTAGTCATGTAGGTCTGTCTGTCTGTTGAGATAGAACGCTGACATTTTGCAAACATGTTTATTTTGCCAGTAGACAGGTTAATTTCGTAAATGAACCATGTAAGTCCACGTCTTCATATAGCCCCCATATAACTCCCGATATTCGGTATTTTGATGATTTTTGCGACATTATTAATCGGAATTGTTTCAAATTTGTTATTTGAAGTTCGTAGTGAATACTACAGCCTATGACAGAAAATTGTCTGGACAGGTCCACGTCTTCGTATAGACCCCATATAACGGTACCTCCCATTATTTGGTATTTTGATAATTTTAGCGTAGTACCGGAGTAGTTTCAAATTACGAGTTCGTAATTGGAACTACAGTCTGTAATAGAAAATTATCTATGCAGGTCCACGTCTTCGTTTGCCCGTATATAAGGGTACCTCCCGTTATTTGGTATTTTGACGATTTTAATACTCAACGAAATAGTTTGAGATGTCGTATTTTACACGGTATTTTGATGAATTTAGCTATATTATTCACCGTTTATTTTTGAGGGACAAGTGTTTAAAGGAGAACCAAAACTTTTTCTTCACTTGTCAATTCAATTTCTTAAGAGCTTAGCTACAAAAGCAATCTTAATTTAAATTTTTCTTATTCCTACAGCTACCATAACTTATCTTCTGTCTGCCCTGCCTGTTCACTTAAAGTGTCATAGACTATGCTGCACTTATCTTGTCTAATGTTTACGTCTAAGACAATCAAATATTTTATGATCAAGCATGTAATTATTTGTCTACGTCAAGGTTATACTAATATAAAGAAAATGTTTTATTTCTGTGAACAGGGAACAAAAACCAATAGTACTCTTGTATTTTAATCCTATACTGTCACTTGTCATGTTTCTCTTCCATTTAACAGCTCATACATTTGTTAAGGATGGAGGTACGACAGAATATGCACCTGAAATATTAATCGCAGGAACAGATATTTTCGATCCATACTCGCGCACTGCAAAGCACAATCCTAGGATTCTATTCGAAGGTCTCACCGAGCTGAATCCAAGTATTGTAAATAGACTACAGGTTCCGCGCAATGAGTCCTTAAATAAGTTTTCTGGCATTCTGAGCTTACAGCCGTATATCCGAAATACATCAAACCAAAAACTATTGAACAAAAGTAGATTAGATAAGACTTTATTTCCTACGAAACGTTATTTGCCAACAATGATTCATTTTGGATTCGCTGATTTTACCACAACCGTCGGAGAAAGCTTAATCGTTTTCATGCCTCTTTCTTATAAAACGTCATCTGAACATTTTATGTCATATGACATGGAAACAAGTGTACAATCGCTAACTTCTGCTTTCGATTTAAAGTTTCCATACAAAACGACTGAAATAGGGTCGAAAAAAATACATTCAATACACAATTCAACGGTTGATTCCTATTCTACCTTATCTTCATTCACAGTTGAAAAAAGAGAAAACCAATTCAACGAACAACGTTCAACAGATAAAGTATTAAAACATTTACACTCCAGTATCATTGTCCCCTCAAAAGTTGTTATATCTCCAAATTCAGAAAATTATAGTGGTAAAATCGCAGAAACAGGCGAACAGGAAAATTTAGAAATTATTTTAAGCCCGAAGAAAACAAAAAAATTGGATGTATATGACAGTAATTTAATGATTCGTCCATTGACTTATATAAGTACAGAAATATTCAAAGGAAGTGTAGATGAAAACAGTGTAAACCCAGAAGTAGAGAGTGAAATAGCTTATAATACAATGTACACGATTTATTCCTACTTGACCACATATTTACACAATCCTTCAATAGCCCTTCTTAGTGAAAATGGAAAATCAGTTAACAGAACAGATCACTCCAGGCATTTTAAAAATTCTGTAAAGAAAAATGAAATAGATAGCTCATATTCCTTGTTTACTACTTATTACTATCATTCAAATAGCGATGTGATGCCAGACATTGAGTTGAGAAAACGGCATAAAAATATCTCAGTACATCCTTATTCTAAAATCAATGCTAATATGTTAGAGAAAAGTAGGCAAAACAAATTTTATGATTCAAGCGTAAACATGATATCGAGTGAGCCATCTATATTAATTTTACAAACTGGATATACCACACATACGTACTTCATAACTCGTTACTCTGGATACGAAAAGAATTTTAGGAGTCATGTGGAAACAAATACTGTAACTGAAACGAAGACGTATACATCCCTACTAAAAAATATTAATACTTTTTATACTTTACCAATAACATATTATACCACATTTACATATTTTACAAAAATGTCTTCAATGTCACAGATAAATACAATTAGTAGAGAAGAAATCATATCAAATGTAATTTTTCCAACAAACACTTTTAAAAATAGGCCATCAGTAAAAACGGTTATAAGCGATCTCGAAGACATACCAAATATTTACGAATTGGGCACAAATAGTTTAAATCCAATTAGCATTGACGAATGTAGTACATATGATTCCACTTTACCTACAATACAGAATAACACTCTGAACTATGAAGTCCATATGTATACAGCTCCGGTGAAATGTCATAACAATGCTACTATAACATCGAATAGGCGAATTAGGCGTGAAGCAGCAAGAAGCCGATTTAGAAAACCCAAGCCAATAGGCGAATCAAGATACGAAAGTAATGATAACGAGGAAGGAAACAATTTAAGTACCATACAAACACAAAACACTGGCCTAATTCGAAGCAGATCTGATGTACGGAATAAAAATTTGGTTGCTTCAGCGCACAATATCATAAGTTCGAACAAGCGCTTGATAAGACCATCACGCGTTTCATCCGTTGCATCCGACAGATCTAAGTTTACTTTACGCGACAAGGGACTCAAAACAAGTACAGAGAAACCAGTCCAGAGAGGAAATTTTCGCAAGCCTCAAGCTATTATAAACAACAAAGGAAGAAGGCCAACTTCTTCTTTCTCTACGTTACTCCCCGGAAAGCGAAGGCCATCCAGTCCACCAAGAGATAATGAGTCACCTACGTCAACTGCGCGCAATGTTGTAAATCAGAGAAGACGTAATTCTAATGGAGGACGTCCGAGGATGGGCTCATACAGAGATACAGACAACAAAAGTAGAAATCGAATTTCTCACGAAATTAGTAGTGAAGTGGTTGGTGCAGACAGTAATGGAATCATAACAGCAACATATGAAATGCCGGAGGAAACTATTTTATCCACTGTAAATGGAAAATCAACCGAACTCAAAACCATTGTAACTGCAAGGAAAAGTCTTCTTGTTTTAAATCCACAACAATACACAAAGATACTTGGTTCTAATGGACAATTATCCCTGGCTTTAGTTAGTCAAAGTTCTTCAATTAACTCGAAAGGGGCAACTGAATATACACAATTTCGTCTACACGAAATTCAAACAACATTTGTTACATTCACACCAACTACAATTCGCGGCCGGAAGACGTCGTTTTCATTAATTTTGCCATCCACGGCGTATTCTGTTGAACATGTCGTTTCAACAATGCAACCAAACATACAAGCAGATACGCCATTAGCTAATATACTACTTTCACAATTGCTACTAGGAAATATTGGATTCCCCTCTAATTTATTACAAGGATTCCATAGCGATGGGGTAACACAATCGACGGAGTATTTGACGCGTACATCTACTTATTTGACCACTCTATATGAGGGTAAATCCACCGTACTACCTATAACATTCCAAGGCAAGAAAATATATACTACTATATACGATACCACAGCCGAAACCATTACGGCCACGGAGTATATAACCGACACTATTGTTATTTCGCCTACACATTCGCAAGTACCTATGGTGAACAGTCTACTTTTACAACAACTGTTACTACCACAGTTAAATCCTCAGCATCAATATAATTCTAATTTCAATCAAGTTTCAGCCACTCCACAAAGCTTGGGTAGTTCTATGAGTTTACAAGAGGAAAATGTAAAGTATGCTTATAACATGGAAGTAGAATTAGAAGAAAATATTGCGGAACTTCAAACTATACCAGATATGTTAAGAAAATCTGGTAAAAAACATAAACGCAGACGCAAAGACGAGGCTAAACTTGAAGACTCCAGCATCATAACGTTATATGTGTCAGGAAAAAGGCCAGGTGAATTTAGCACAATTTTGTCAACATTAAAACCCGATCATTCATTACCAAAACGTTCCATACAGAGTACGATAGACATAAATAAAATAAAAAATAATATAAAAACAAAAGTTGAACCACATACATATGGTACTACACAATCCTTGAATAGCGTAGTAGGCGATGTCAATAAGTGGTTCGTGGGCCAAGGACATTGTTCTTCATGCTAATAAATTTCTTGTTATTTTTAAGTAAAAATTTTATAACCGCAAGTGCTACCACATAATTTAATTCTAAAACTTATTGTCTTATTTTATGTCTAGAAGAGAATATACATTTAAATGTTAGTCTTCCACAAATTTCGATTACAAGATTTTTTTAGATTTTGTGTTAATTGAGGGATTTAGGAAATACCCCGATTTACATGATTTTTCACGGTTTTATTGAATATTTTTATCGCTTTTAGCACTTTGAAATAAGTTGTCAACACTTTTCTTAAATCAATGTGTTCTCACATTAATTTTAAAATATGTACCGTAGATTACTAAGATGTTGGCGTTAGCAGGGCAATTCCCATTTTATTGCAAACAACATAACATGTAAACATCAAAACGAAAGTGGGAAATAACACGATGCCAGAGCATTGCTTCAGTTAGTTTTTATCAATAGACTTGTGAGTGCGGTTTAGTAAAATTCATCGATACAAAGATGCCGAGAACATAGAAAAACAAAAGAAAAGAATTGTTATATCTTTAGAAACGAAAAAACAAATCTTGGATCGATTGTGCAAGGGTGAAACTATTACAAGAGTTTCCAATACATATTCTATCCACGAAGCTACGATAAGAACAATAAGAAAAAACGAAAACTCAATCAGAAAGTGTGTTGCAGCTGGAACTGAGGGAAGTATGAGTGCAACTTCTTACGTGAGGAATAATGAAATTGAAAAAAAGGAAAAAAGCATTGATGATATGGATAGAAGATCAAACACAAAAGCTAATACCAATTGACACCAATGCAATCACAATAAAAGCAATCCAGATTTTTGAAATATCTAATGACCAGCTAACTTCCACGTCAAAATCAAAACAAGTTTTTTGTGCTAGCCATGGTTGGTTTGCCAAATTTAAACAAAGAAATTCTTTACACAATGTAAAGCTAAAAGGCGAGCAATCGTCAGCCAATATAAATGCTGCTCAAGGTTATCCAGAAAAGATTTCTGAGTTGATTTTAGCTAAAGGTGACTTGCCCGTATATTGGATGGCAAATAAAAAGGCATGGGTTACTGCTGCTACTTTCAGTCACTGGTTTCATACAATGTTAGTTCCAGATGTAATACGATATTTAAACAGTAAAGGACTGCCGAATAAAATGTTGCTACTTATCGACAATGCGCCTGGTCATCCAATTGACCTAGAACATGAGAATATAAAAGTTGTATTTCTCCCAAAAAATACAACTTTTCTATTGCAACCGTTTGATCAGGGTGTAATTTCAACTTTTAAGGCATTATACATCAATCTATCATTCAGACATATATTAGAACAAATTTATAGCAATGCTCCCTATCAGTCGTAGACGCATGGAAAATGTTGTCGATATTAGACAGTGTAAAGCATATTGCACTTGCGTGCACTGAAATAAAAAATCAACCCTTCAAGGATGTTGGAAAAAACTATTGCCTGCGGTATGTGAAAGCTCTGAATGTTTGGAAACATTGGAAGAACAATATTCTCAGATTACAAATTTGGCTAATATAATTGGTGGCAACTTATGACAGATGAAGAATTGGAGGCAGGAAATTTAGTTGATATGTTAGACCAACAAAACCTAATTGTAAATCAAGAAGAATAATATGAGGAAACGGTTCAATTGACATCTAAAATTATATCTGAAGGTTTAGAAATGGGTAGAAAATTGGCAAATCATTTTCTCAAAAATGTTCCGAATGTGCAAAGGGCAGTCGCATTCCAAAGACATATTACCCAAGGCTTAGCACAATATGTAGAAGTTTATTAAGAATTAAACAATAAATCGATGCAGCTCTTAATCAATGACTTCACTTGACAAAAGGAAGGGACTCAAGGTAATGATATTAATGTGAAATATTTTTTTGTTTTGTTTTTATGAATATTTTATTTTGTTTACTGATCACACGTTTATTTTTTTTTTTTAATGATCTCATGTTTATTTTAGTGCATTTATATTGTTTAAACTAACTGTATTTCAAATACATTTGTAATAACTTTATAAAATCCAGTTTTTATGCACTGCTGCGTTAATTTTCGTGTAACTCGATCGAGGGATAGGTGTATTACACTTTATTTGCATTGTTACCTCATATTGATTCTCTCTATATTTTCTTTATAATTTAGTTACTTTGCATTCCTCGTTGTCATAACATTGGTCACTTTGCACTAGATTACGAATGAAGTCATCAAAACCAATTAATGAAAGTGATCGAAAAAGTATATTTTTTGATATTTTCGATTCATACTGGTGAACTGCAAAACAAAATCCTAGGATTATATTCGAAGGTCTCACCGAGCTGAATCCAAGTATTGTAAATCGACTACAGGTTCCGCGCAATGAGTTCTTAAATAAGGTTATTATAGTAATTTAATGATTCGACCATTGACTTATATTAGTACAAAACTTTCAAAGGAAGTTTAGAGGATAACAGTGTAAACCCAGAAATAGAGACTGAAATAGCTTACAATGAACACGATTTATTCCTACTTGACCAAATATTTACACAATCCTTCAATAGCTCTACTTAGTGAAAATAAAAAATTAGTTAACAGAAGAGATCACTCCAGGCATTTTTTAAAATTCTGTAAATATGTGACATAAAATGAGATTCTTAGCTCATATTCCTTCTTTACTACTTATTACTATTATTCGATGTGATGTCAGACATTGAGTTGAGAAAACGGCATAAAAGTATCTCAGCACATCCTTATTCTAAAATCAATGCTAATATGCTAGAGAGAAGTAGGTAAAACAAATTTTATGATTCAAGCGTAAACATGATATCGAGTGAGCCATCTATATTAATTTTACAAACTGGATATACCACACATACGTACTTCATAACTCGTTACTCTGGGTACGAAAATAATTTTAGGAGTCATATGGAAACAAACACTGTAACTGAAACGAAGACGTACACAACGCTACTAAAAAACATTAATACTTTTTATACTTTAACAATTACATATTATACCACATTTACATATTTTACAAAAATGCCTTCAATGTCAAAGATAAATACTATTAGTAGAGAAGAAATCATATCAAATGTAATTTTTCCAACAAAACACTTTTAAAAATAGGCTATCAGTAAAAACGGTTATAAACGATCTCGAAGACATACCAAATATTAACGAATTGGGCGCAAATAGTTTAAATCCAATTAGCATTGACGAATGTAGTACATATGATTCCACTTTACCTACAATACAGAATAACACTCTGAACTATGAAGTCCATATGTATACAGCTCCGGTAAAATGTCATAACAATGCTACTATAACATCGAATAGGCGAATTAGGCGTGAAGCAGCAAGAAGCCGATTTAGAAAACCCAAGCCAATAGGCGAATCAAGATACGAAAGTAATGATAACGAGGAAGGAAACAATTTAAGTACCATACAAACACAAAACACTGGCCTAATTCGAAGCCGATCTAATATCCGGAATAAAAATTTGGTTGCTTCAGCACACAGTATCATAAGTTCGAACAAGCGCTTGATAAGACCATCACGTGTTTCATCCGACAAATCTAAGTTTACTTTACGCGACAAAGGACTTAAAACAAGTCCAGGGAAACCTGTCCAGAGACGTAATTTTCGCAAGCCTTAAGCTATTATAAACAATAAAGGAAGAAGGCCAGCTTGTTTTTCTCTGCGTTACTCCCCGGAAAGCGACGGCCTTCCAGTCCACCAAAAGATAATGAGTCACCTACGCCAACTGCGCGCAATGTTGTAAATCAGAGAAGACGTAATTCTAATGGAGGAGGTCCGAGGATGGGCTCATACAGAGATCCAGACAACAAAAGTAGAAATCGAATTTCTCACGAAATTAGTAGTGAAGCGGTTGGTGCAGACAATAATGGAATCATAACAGCAACATATGAAATGCCGGAGGAAACTATTTTATCCACTGTAAATGGGAAATCAATGGAACTCAAAACCATTGTAACTGAAAGGAAAATTCTTCTTGTTTTAAATCCACAACAATACACAACGATACTTGGTTGTAATGGACAATTATTTCTGGCTTTAGTTAGTCAAAGTTCTTCAATTAACTCGAAAGGAACAACTGAATATACACAATTTCGTCTGCATGCAATTCAAACAACATTTGATACATTTACACCAACCTCAATTCACGGCAGGAAGACGTCGTTTCATTAATTGTGCCAAAATGTACATGTCGTTTCAACAATGCAACCAAGCATACAATCAGATACGCCATTATCTAATATACTACTTAACAATTGCTACTAGGAAACATTGGATTCCGCTCTAATTTATTACAAGGATACATGTACTTATTTGACCACTCTATATGAGGGTAAATGCACCGTACTACCTATAACATTCCAAGGCAATTTATATACGATACCACAGCCGAAACCATTACGGCCACGGAGTATACACACTATTGATATTTCGCCTACACATTCGCAAGTACCTATGGTGAACAGTTTACATTTACAACAACTGTTACTACCACAATTAAATCAGCATCAATATAATTCAAATTTCAATCAAGTTTCAGCCACGCCACAAAGCTTGGGTAGTTTTATAAGTTTACAAGAGGAAAATGTAAAGTAAGCTTATAACACGGAAGTAGAATTATAAGAAAATATTGCGGAACTTCAAACTATATCATACATGTTAAGAAAATCTGGAAAAAAAAAACATAAGCTCAGACACAAAGACGAGACTAAGCATCATAACGTTATATGTGTCAGAAAAAAGGCCAGACGAACTTAGCATAATTTTGTCAACATTAAAACCCGATCATTCATTACCAAAACGTTCCATACAGAGTACAATAGAAATAAATAAAATAAAAAATAATATATAAATAAAAGGACACTGTTGTTCATGGTAATAAATTTCTTAATATGTTTGAATTCGGGTAGATAACTCCCGGCTTTTGGTTTTACATTTAAATTTAACTCTTTATTGTGTTCATATCGTCGGACTATGCATTCCTCGTTGTCATAACATTGGTCACTTTGCACTAGATTACGAATGAAGCCACCAAAACCAATTAATACAAGTGATGAAACTGCGAACTGCAAAACAAAATCCCAGAATTCTATTCGAAGGTCTCACCGAGCTGAATCCAAGTATTATATATAGACTACAAGTTCCGCGCAATGAGTTCTTAAACAAGGTTATGACAGTAATTTAATGACTCGTCCATTGACTTATATTAGTACAGAAACATTCAAAAGAGGTTTAGAGGATAACAGTGTAAACCCAAAAATAGAGAGTGAAATAGCTTATAATACAACATACACGATTTATTCCTACTTGACTACATATTTACACAATCCTTGAATAGCCCTACTTAATGAAAATAAAAAATCACTTAACAGAAAATCAGTTAACAGATCACTCCAGGCATTTTAAAAATTCAACAAAAATGTTACATAAAAATGAAATTTTTAGCTCATAGTCCTTGTCTTCTTCTTATTACTATCACTCAAATAGCGATGTGATGTCAGATATTGAGTTGAGAAAACGGCATAAAACTATCTCAGTACATCCTTATATAAAGTCAATGCTAATATGTTAGAGAGAAGTAGGCAAAACAAATTTTATAATTCAAGCGTAAACATGATATCGAGTGAGCCATCTATATTAATTTTACAAACTGGATATACCCCACATACGTACTTCATAATTTGTTACTCTGGGTATGAAAAGAATTTTACGAGTCATGTGGAAACAAACCCTGTAACTAAAACGAAGACGTACACATCGCTACTAAAAAACATTAATACTTTTTATACTTTACCAATAACATATTATACCACATTTACAGATTTTACAAAAATGTCTTCAATGTCAAAGATAAATACTATTAGTAGAGAAGTAATCATATCAAATGTAACTTTCCCAACAAACACTTCTAAATATAGGCTGCCAGTAAAAACGGTTATAAACGATCTCGAAGACATACAAAATATTTACGAATTGGGCAATGTTATACATATGGTTCCACTTTACCTACAATACAGAATAACACTCTGAACTATGAAGTCCCTATGTATATAGCTCCGGTGAAATGTCATTACAATGCTACTTTAACATCGAATAAGCGAATTAAGCGTGAAGCGAAAACCATGATAACGAGGAAGGAAACTATTTAGGTATCATGCAAATACAAAATACTGGTCTAATTCGAAGCCGTTCTAATATCCGGAATAAAAATATGGTTGCTTCAGCACACAATATCATAAGTTCGAACAAGCGCTTGATAAGACCATCACGCGTTTCATCCGAACCGAAACCTGTCCAGAGAGGAAATTTTCTCAAGCCTCAAGCTATTATAAACAATAAAGGAAGAAGGACAACTTCGTCTTTCTCTACGTTACTCCACGGAAAGCGAAGGCCATCCAGTCCACAAAAGAGAATGAGTCACCTACGCCAACTGCGCGCAATGTTGTAAATCAGAGAAGACGTAATTCTAATGGAGGACGTCCGAGGATGGGCTCATACAGAGATCCAGACAACAAAAGTAGAAATCGGATTTCTCACGAAATTAGTAGTAAAGCGGTTATTGCAGATTGTAATGGAATTATAACAGCAACATATGAAATGCTGGAGGAAACTATTTTATCCACTGTAAATGGGAAATCAATGGAACTCAAAACCATTGTAACTGCAAGGAAAAGTCTTCTTGTGTTAAATCCACGCGAAAACACAAAGTTACTTGGTTCTAATGGACAATTATCTCTGGCTTTAGTTAGTCAAAGTTTTTCAATTAACTCGAAAGGGGCAACTGAATATACACAATTTCGTCTACACGAAATTCAAACATGTGCGTGAAGATAAAATCGATTTTAACTAGCGAAGACAACACCCAGTCTGGGCGCACTTTCTGTTGTATAACAGTGTATAACAGATATGCGGAAAATAAAAACGATTTTGGTAGGGGTAAAATAAAAACGATTTTTGAAGATGCGAAACAAAAATGCATTTTTTTTAAATTTGTATTTATTCTTGTTTGTACCTGATAATGAACATAATTATAAGTATAAAAAAATAAAATAACTAATTTAAAGGTATTTCAATAAAAAACTTTCGTCATCATACCGACTATTTTTTAATGGAAGAAAGTTACATAGCCCACTGTGCAGCAATAAAAAATAGTGCACGCATATGAATGGCACTGCAGGAAAGGTCGTTCCAAGAGCTTTCTAAAACGCTATTACTTGGCCAAATCGATCGTGGAAAATTAGAGAAAAATTGATTTTTCTTATTTTTCAAAAGTTATCAACGAGTCCCACTGTGCGAAAACTAAAAATAGTGCAAGCTCATGGAATAGCACGTTGGAAAGCCCATGAGGTGTACTTTCGAGATATAAAAATTCCTGAAAGATTAATCCTGCAGATTTTTTTTAAAAAATATTTTTCCTAAAGTCAAGTGTTTTCTAGAGGGAAACATAAAATGGCCCACTGTGCAGCAATAAAAAATAGTGCACGCATATGAATGGCACTGCAGGAAAGCTCGTTCCAAGAGCTTTCTAAAACGCTATTACTTGGCCAAATCGATCGTGGAAAATTAGAGAAAAATTGATTTTTCTTATTTTTCAAAAGTTATCAACGAGTCCCACTGTGCGAAAACTAAAAATAGTGCAAGCTCATGGAATAGCACGTTGGAAAGCCCATGAGGTGTACTTTCGAGATATAAAAAGTCCTGAAAGATTAATCGGGCATATTTTTTTTAAAAAATATTTTTCCTTAAGTCAAGTGTTTTCTAGAGGGAAACATAAATGACCCACTGTGCAGCAAGAGCTTTCCGTATTTATATCCAGACATTCCATTCATTTTTCGCGTTATTTGAGTCATTTTAGAAATGAACAAAAAATATCAATTAAATGAAAACAACTTCTTGCCTGTAATATTGAATAATTCTGACAAGAAGTGGGTGTAGCCTTAAGGCTGTATTTCTGTAGTTTTACGAAGCTGTTCTACCTCCTTATTGTACCATGGTAAATCTGCGCACATTACCAAACTCTCTTGTAGTCTGGTAATGTGCAGTACATTTAGACTTATGAAAAATGTTAGAGGGAACTAGCTATAATCCAAACTATCGCTAACATCGATGTTTTTCCCGATAGTCTGGTAATGTGCAATACATTTAGACATATGAAAAATGTTGGAGGGAACAAAGTATAATCCACGGTACAATAATAAGGTAAGGTAGAGCTCCCAGCTAATAACAATTTGTTTTATAAGTGTGGCCGACTTCAGCCAATTTTGTGTATGTATTTGTTTGTAAAATCAATGATTGGAAGAAATTTATATTGCTGGACGCGCATTAATAATATTAACCAGATTTGCCATGGAATTTAAATATTGAACACTTAGGGTCATATTTATGTGAGAACATCCAAACATTTCATTCATCTTTCGCTTTATTTGATTCATTTTAGAAGAGGACAAAAAATATCAATTAAATGAAAACAATTTGTTGCCTATAATTTTGAATAATTCGTTCAGGTAGCGGGTATAGCCTTAAGGCTGTGTTTCTGTAGTTTTACGAAGCTGTTCTACCTCCTTATTGCACCATGGTAAATCTGCCACATTACCTAACTATCACTAACATCGATGTTTTTCCCGATAGTCTGGTAATGTGCAATACATTTATACATATGAAAAATGTTGGAGGGAACTAGATATAATCCAAACTATCGCAAACATCGATGTTTTTCCCGATAGAGGTTGTTATAAAGTATACACTAATTTGATTTTCTACACTTTTGCGAAAAGACTTAAAAAATACAAAATGTACAATATACGATTTGGTATATCAAATTGAAAAAATTGTGTGCAATATAAAAAACAAGTTAAAAAGTATCAGTCGGTTCTATGGACAGATGTATACCCTCAATGTCCGTTTACTCAAATACATATTTCAACATGCTTGACTTGGAAAGGTTCCGAAAGAATAGGACAATATTATCCTAACAACGTGCCAGATTTGGACTTTTTGTCTGTTCCAAACCCAGCAATCATTTACTGGTTTTTGCTTTTTTTCAATACCTCAAAGGAAAATTAGTTATCTTATTAAATAGTTTTAAATCCTTGCATTTCTGTAACAGAGCATACATTGAGTACTTCCTCTACTACACATAAGATAGATATGTGATAATTGTCGAAAATGTTGAAATGTGCTGGATGTAACATACATAGTTGGCCGAAGTGTCCCACCTAATCCAATATGGATAAGAATAGTGCAAACTTTAAAGAAAAACGAACATTTATTATCAATTTTATGCTTATATTTATAGATTTAAATTTTTTGTGGCGGACATAGCAAAAGGCTGATAAATCTTATATTCACATCAATAGTGGGATTCTCTAACTCATTTTTTGAGTTACCGACAAAAATCTTTAACTTCGAAATCCAAAATCTGGATATAAACAATAAGTTAAAGTTGACAACATTGGTAGGTCTTACATACTACTTTGATTTCATCGCTAACTTTCCGAAAAAAAACTCGTAATTACCGACATTATAAGCATTTCAATTTCACTGACTTTTGTCGGTAACTCAAAACAAAATTCCACTATTGATCTCTGGTTGACAGAAATATTTTAATATACCAAGTTCACATAGAATCACTGACTTGTTCCGCATGTTATGAGAGCTATAAGTATTTAAAATTGTGATCATTTGTGGCGGAGGTACCAGAATAAGACCAATATCCAACATCTTCATACCACATCTTGTTGTTCCGAAGTGTAAAATTTGAAGAGATTCGGATGCTTATTTTGCCTTTTATTACCATTTAGTTCTATATATATCCCATCTTCACACCGATCATGTGTCATCAATATTGGGATGCGTAAAATAAAGAGAATCCGATGCATATTTCGCATTTTGTTTTCATTGTGCAATTTTCAAGTTTCTGTATGAAAAGGTGAAGAATTTTATTAAAATTAAACAATAAAAATTCACAAAAATATATACCTACCTAAGCTCCAGGTGTCTTGTTCTTCAATGCTTTTTATCACCGCTCTGTTAATCAAAATGCTGACTCGTTGTGGAGGAGGTTGAACATATATCCCATTTTCACACCGATCATGTGTCATCAATATTAGGATGCGTAACATTTGAAGAGAATCCGATGCATATTTCGTATTTTGTTTTTATTATCCCATCCATGGCAATACAATTCGTGTTTCTGTCTGAAAAGGTGAAGAATTTTATTAAAATTAAACAATAAAAATTCACAAAAATGTATACCTACCCAAGCTTCCGGTGTCCTGTTCTTCAATACAAATCAACAATTACAAAATTTCCCTCCAACATCCGATGCATATTTCGCATTTTCTTTTTATTATCCAATTTTCATTTTTCAAGAGTTTTTCTCCCATCCATGGCAATACAATTCGTGTTTCTGTCTGAAATGGTGAAGAATTTTATTAAAATTAAACAATAAAAATTCACAAAAATGTATACCTACCCAAGCTTCCGGTGTCCTGTTCTTCAATGCAAATCAACAATTACAATATTTCCCTCCAACATCCGATGCATATTTCGCATTTTCTTTTTATTAACCAATTTTCATTTTTCAAAAGCTGTTCTCTCATCCATACAATTCGTGTTTTTGTCTGAAAAGGTGAAGAATTTTATTAATATTAAACAATAAAAATTCACAAAAATGTATACCTACCCAAACTTCGGTGTCCTGTTCTTCAATACAAATCAACATAACAATAAAGATAGTTTGGTAATGTGCACAGATTATAGGTAGTTCCCTCTAACATTTTTCATATGTCTAAATGTACTGCACATTACCAGACTATCGAGAAAAACATCGATGTTAGTGATAGTTAGGTAATGTGGCAGATTTACCATGGTACAATAAGGAGGTAGAACAGCTTCGTAAAACTACAGAAACACAGCCTTAAGGCTATACCCGCTACCTGAAAGAATTATTCAAAATTATAGGCAACAAATTGTTTTCATTTTTTGATATTTTTTGTCCTCTTCTAAAATGAATCAAATAAAGCGAAAGATGAATGAAATGCCTGGATGTTCTCACATAAATATGACCCTAAGTGTTCAATATTTCAATTCCATGGCAAATCTGGTTAATATTATTAATGCGCGTCCAGCAATATAAATTTCTTCCAATCATTGATTTTACAAACAAATACATACACAAAATTGGCTGAAGTCGGCCACACTTATAAAACAAATTGTTATTAGCTGGGAGCTCTACCTTACCTTATTATTGTACCGTGGATTATACTTTGTTCCCTCCAACATTTTTCATATGTCTAAATGTATTGCACATTACCAGACTATCGGGAAAAACATCGATGTTTGCGATAGTTTGGATTATATCTAGTTCCCTCCAACATTTTTCATATGTCTAAATGTATTGCACATTACCAGACTATCGGGAAAAACATCGATGTTAGCGATAGTTTGGATTATAGCTAGTTCCCTCCAACATTTTTCCTATGTCTAAATGTATTGCACATTACCAAACTATCGGGAAAAACATCGATGTTAGCGATAGTTTGGTAAAGTGCACAGATTATAGCTAGTTCCCTCTAACATTTTTCATAAGTCTAAATGTACTGCACATTACCAGACTACATGAGAGTTTGGTAATGTGCGCAGATTTACCATGGTACAATAAGGAGGTAGAACAGCTTCGTAAAACTACAGAAATACAGCCTTAAGGCTACACCCGCTTCTTGTCAGAATTATTCAATATTACAGGCAAGAAGTTGTTTTCATTTAATTGATATTTTTTGTTCATTTCTAAAAGGACTCAAATAACGCGAAAAATGAATGGAATGTCTGGATATAAATACGGAAAGCTCTTGCTGCACAGTGGGTCATTTATGTTTCCCTCTAGAAAACACTTGACTTTAGGAAAAATATTTTTTAAAAAAAATATGCCCGATTAATCTTTCAGGAGTGTTTATATCTCGAAAGTACACCTCATGGGCTTTCCAATGTGCTATTCCATGAGCTTGCACTATTTTTAGTTTTCGCACAGTGGGACTCGTTGATAACTTTTGAAAAATAAGAAAAATCAATTTTTCTCTAATTTTCCACGATCGATTTGGCCAAGTAATAGCGTTTTAGAAAGCTCTTGGAACGACCTTTCCTGCAGTGCCATTCATATGCGTGCACTATTTTTTATTGCTGCACAGTGGGCCATTTTATGTTTCCCTCTAGAAAACACTTGACTTTAGGAAAAATATTTTTAAAAAAAAATCTGCCCGATTAATCTTTCAGGACTTTTTATATCTCGAAAGTACACCTCATGGGCTTTCCAACGTGCTATTCCATGAGCTTACACTATTTTTAGTTTTCGCACAGTGGGACTCGTTGATAACTTTTGAAAAATAAGAAAAATCAATTTTTCTCTAATTTTCCACGATCGATTTGGCCAAGTAATAGCGTTTTAGAAAGCTCTTGGAACGAGCATTCCTGCAGTGCCATTCATATGCGTGCACTATTTTTTATTGCTGCACAGTGGGCCATTTTATGTTTCCCTCTAGAAAACACTTGACTTTAGGAAAAATATTTTTTAAAAAAAATCTGCCCGATTAATCTTTCAGGAGTGTTTATATATTGAAAGTACACCTTATGGGCTTTCCAACGTGCTATTCCGTGAGCTTGCACTATTTTTAGTTTTCGCACAGTGGGACTCGTTGATAACTTTTGAAAAATAAGAAAAATCAATTTTTCTCTAATTTTCCACGATCGATTTGGCCAAGTAATAGCGTTTTAGAAAGCTCTTGGAACGAGCTTTCCTGCAGTGCCATTCATATGCGTGCACTATTTTTTATTGCTGCACAGTGGGCCATTTTATGTTTCCCTCTAGAAAACACTTGACTTAAGGAAAAATATTTTTTAAAAAAAATCTGCCCGATTAATCTTTCAGGAGTGTTTATATCTCGAAAGTACACCTCATGGGCTTTCGAATGTGCTATTCCATGAGCTAGCACTATTTTTAGTTTTCGCACAGTGGGACTCGTTGATAACTTTTGAAAAATAAGAAAAATCAATTTTTCTCTAATTTTCCACGATCGATTTGGCCAAGTAATAGCGTTTTAGAAAGCTCTTGGAACGACCTTTCCTGCAGTGCCATTCATATGCATGCACTATTTTTTATTGCTGCACAGTGGGCCATTTTATATTTCCCTCTAGAAAACACTTGACTTTAGGAAAAATATTTTTTAAAAAAAATCTGCCCGATTAATCTTTCAGGTGTGTTTATATCTCGAAAGTACACCTCATGGGCTTTCCAATGTGCTATTCCATGAGCTTGCACTATTTTTAGTTTTCGCACAGTGGGACTCGTTGATAACTTTTGAAAAATAAGAAAAATCAATTTTTCTCTAATTTTCCACGATCGATTTGGCCAAGTAATAGCGTTTTAGAAAGCTCTTGGAACGACCTTTCCTGCAGTGCCATTCATATGCGTGCACTATTTTTTATTGCTGCACAGTGGGCCATTTTATATTTCCCTCTAGAAAACACTTGACTTTAGGAAAAATATTTTTTAAAAAAAATCTGCCCGATTAATCTTTCAGGAGTGTTTATATATTGAAAGTACACCTTATGGGCTTTCCAACGTGCTATTCCTTGAGCTTGCACTATTTTTAGTTTTCGCACAGTGGGACTCGTTGATAACTTTTGAAAAATAAGAAAAATCAATTTTTCTCTAATTTTCCACGATCGATTTGGCCAAGTAATAGCGTTTTAGAAAGCTCTTGGAACGACCTTTCCTGCAGTGTCATTCATATGCGTGCACTATTTTTTATTGCTGCACAGTGGGCCATTTTATGTTTCCCTCTAGAAAACACTTGACTTTAGGAAAAATATTTTTAAAAAAAAAATCTGCCCGATTAATCTTTCAGGAGTGTTTATATCTTGAAAGTACACCTCATGGGCTTTCCAACGTGCTATTCCATGAGCTTGCACTATTTTTAGTTTTCGCACAGTGGGACTCGTTGATAACTTTTGAAAAATAAGAAAAATCAATTTTTCTCTAATTTTCCACGATCGATTTGGCCAAGTAATAGCGTTTTAGAAAGATCTTGGAACGAGCTTTCCTGCAGTGCCATTCATATGCGTGCACTATTTTTTATTGCTGCACAGTGGGCCATTTTATGTTTCCCTCTAGAAAACACTTGACTTTAGGAAAAATATTTTTTAAAAAAAATCTGCCCGATTAATCTTTCAGGAGTGTTTATATATTGAAAGTACACCTTATGGGCTTTCCAACGTGCTATTCCATGAGCTTGCACTATTTTTAGTTTTCGCACAGTGGGACTCGTTGATAACTTTTGAAAAATAAGAAAAATCAATTTTTCTCTAATTTTCCACGATCGATTTGGCCAAGTAATAGCGTTTTAGAAAGATCTTGGAACGAGCTTTCCTGCAGTGCCATTCATATGCGTGCACTATTTTTTATTGATGCACAGTGGGCCATTTTATGTTTCCCTCTAGAAAACACTTGACTATAAGAAAAATATTTTTTAAAAAAAATCTGCCCGATTAATCTTTCAGGAGTGTTTATATCTCGAAAGTACACCTCATGGGCTTTCCAACGTGTTATTCCGTGAGCTTGCACTATTTTTAGTTTTCGCACAGTGGGACTCGTTGATAACTTTTGAAAAATAAGAAAAATCAATTTTTCTCTAATTTTCCACGATCGATTTGGCCAAGTAATAGCGTTTTAGAAAGCTCTTGGAACGAGCTTTCCTGCAGTGCCATTCATATGCGTGCACTATTTTTTATTGCTGCACAGTGGGCCATTTTATGTTTCCCTCTAGAAAACACTTGACTTTAGGAAAAATATTTTTTAAAAAAAATCTGCCCGATTAATCTTTCAGGACTTTTTATATCTCGAAAGTACACCTCATGGGCTTTCCAACGTGCTATTCCATGAGCTTGCACTATTTTTAGTTTTCGCACAGTGGGACTCGTTGATAACTTTTGAAAAATAAGAAAAATCAATTTTTCTCTAATTTTCCACGATCGATTTGGCCAAGTAATAGCGTTTTAGAAAGCTCTTGGAACGACCTTTCCTGCAGTGCCATTCATATGCGTGCACTATTTTTTATTGCTGCACAGTGGATCATTTATGTTTCCCTCTTGAAAACACTTGACTTTAGGAAAAATATTTTTTAAAAAAAATCTGCCCGATTAATCTTTCAGGAGTGTTCATATATTGAAAGTATACCTCATGGGCTTTCCAACGTGCTATTCCATGAGCTTGCACTATTTTTAGTTTTCGCACAGTGGGACTCGTTGATAACATTTGAAAAATAAGAAAAATCGATTTTTCTCTAATTTTCCACGATCGATTTGGCCAAGTAATAGCGCTTTAGATAGCTCTTGGAACGACCTTTCCTGCAGTGCCATTCATATGCGTGTACTATTTTTTATTGCTGTACAGTGGGCCATTTTATGTTTCCCTCTAGAAAACACTTGACTTTAGGAAAAATATTTTTTAAAAAAAATCTGCCCGATTAATCTTTCAGGAGTGTTTATATGTTGAAAGTACACCTCATGGGCTTTCCAACGTGCTATTCCGTGAGCTTGCACTATTTTTAGTTTTCGCACAGTGGGACTAGTTGATAACTTTTGAAAAATAAGAAAAATCGATTTTTCTCTAATTTTCCACGATCGATTTGGCCAAGTAATAGCGTTTTAGAAAGCTCTTGGAACTGCCTTTCCTGCAGTGTCACTCATATGCATGCACTATTTTTTATTGCTGCACAGTGGGCTATGTAATTTTCTTCCATTAAAAAATAATTGGTATGATGACGAAAGTTTTTTATTGAAACACCTTTA